CCCTTTGAGGGTTAAGGGCAGAGTTCTCCTTTTAAGTTTAAAACTTTCTTTGAAATTTTGGATACTGCTCATATGCTCTTGATCAATCTGTGAATTGAGGAACGGGCACTCTAGAAAGTGACCAATGCTTGCTAAATTGTTTCCCCTGGGGTTATACATACAGCCCTAGTATGTTGCCATCTGATTCGATGAGTACAGTAAATGTTAAAGAATGCACATTTTACTTAGGTAGTATTGCCATAGAATGGAAAGGTCACAGAAAATTTAAACACTGGCATTTTAACGATACAAAAAAAAGATATGAACGAATTACTTGTAACTGATGCATAGATTGACGTCAAAGGTTGGTGTACTCGCATGAACCACGAATAATTTAATTAGTAGCAAAGACACGGCAAATGTAAATTTTCTCCAGTTGTTGTGGAGTCTAACAATCAAAAGAAATGTTAGCGTTGTTCCTTACGAATAAATGTTTATGTTAATTTTTATAACACACAGAGACCACATAGTGCCAATAGTCGGATACAAGAAAAACGTGTTTGTGCAGTGTCCACTATATTGTACCGCTACTTCGTTTTTTTATCGGCGCCGCCAGTGCGTTAAATGTAAAACTGTTTCGCCTGTGCAGTTTCTAGCCTCTAACATTGAATTAACTTATATTTCCTTAAGGTGATATTTTAATTGGTAGTGTTTCAAATCCCCGATTTTCTGCACTTCGGTAAACATATCAATGTTGCATTTGTTTCTGTTAAAGCGCGATGCATGCGTGTACCCTTGTACGTGGTGTCCTGTGAGAGCAATGAGCAACAAGAGACGTTTGAAAGCGCAGTGACACCTCTTTTCCGCAACGTGGTAAAATTTGTTTGGCAATCGGATCATATTTTAATATGCATGGTGGTGAAAGTTGTGACGCAGCGTTCGCAGAGTTGTCTGGCAGCACGACAAGTGTTACTACTCAGCATTATGAGAGTTGTTGAAATTAAAGAAAATCAGTGCGACTGGGTGTATTCATACATACATGAAATGTGGCGGCATTCGGTAGTTTTCGGTTAATGCTGGAATAACAAAAAGAGAGCAATTTCAGATCAAAAATAAAAGTACATTTTTAACTTTCATCACAGCCTGCGACAAGATTGTTTTTACATTTCATATTTCTCTCTAATTAGAAAAATTGTTTTCAGACAAAACAAATTGTAGAATTGAGAAGAAATCGTCCCAGAAGTCATGATTTTGAATTTACAGCATAACGACGTCATAATTTTTCAAGGGCGTCACCAGACGGTAGGCCCTAATGCTGCCAAACCTTTATCCACGATAGCTGAAGTTCAGTACGCGATTTTAAAGCGACGCATATGTATTCATTTGCCCCCTTCTGACTCTTGTCATCGGCCTGTGGCTCTGTATCTAAAAAGATACGGACCGCAAAATTCCATCCTAAGCAGTCGTCCTGACAGCAGTAAAATGCAGCCATAATTGAGAGGAGGAGGGAGCTGATCACTGAAGCATTCAGGTTATTGCACGCACGAAATTTTGAGTAACTTTCAATTTCTGCTATCGATTACGGACACAGGAATATCTCTAGATTTGCGTGGAAGTGCAGTGAGAACGACCCAGAGTTCTACAGAAAGCATTCAACCGGCGCCCGCTGAATACGCCATTGACCGAAACCTTGATACATTTTCACACACGGGTAAGTGTTTATTTCGTGTCTTACCGATACAAAAAAACATGTCAACCTGGGAATTTAAATTGATTGATCTTCTCAATTTATCTAACAAAGACGAAGCTGTGATATTTTTTTCCCGAGCAATACATATCTTTATCAGCTTCTGGAGGGTCCAAAATGTCGTGGAAAGGGCAACATTGTTTTTTCTTTTTTTTTCCCACTTTTAGTTTCATTTTGGTGAGAGACGTTTTTGAGGCAGTTGGTTGTTTTGGTGGGGTTGCTCAATCATATTCCTTTATCTCCTTGAAAAACAAAAGATAGTGGTTCCAGTATTGTCTATTTTTAGTAGTTAAGTTCGTTACTTCAGCGTAGCAGGATGCATGACACGCGTCACGCATTACAGTTGCCTGTATAATAGACCATTAAAGATTCTCAGCTATTTATTATACATTGTATAACATCGTTATAGTGATTACAAATATGGTTGAGAAAAGAAAAAGATAAAATAACGAGAGCTTATTTTTCTGTTTGCCAACAGAGCAGAGAATTTTGTAGCATTTTTTTGTAGATTTGAACAACACCAAATCATTGTCCGTATATAACACCTCTCTTTCAAGTTACCTGCAAAGTGTCAACCTGATAGAACTTGCGCTTCAGGAGATATAGAGCCTTAAAAAGTGCACCCTTAATGTAGCATGACTTGTCTCCTGATGACTTCATCATCACATGCAGTTAATATTCTTCTAAAGCACTCCCTTTTCAAGATATCTGCAGGAATTGAACCCGATCAAACATATACTTTATGAGATAAAGGGCATCAAAGAGTGTACATTTAACGTCACCTGACTTATCCCGATGACGTAATCAGCACAGGAGGTCAACATTCGTCGCTAACACATTCCTTTCTAGGTATTTCCAAAATTTCAACGAGATGGGATATGTCGTTTAGGAGATAAAAGGCTTTGAAGTTCATGCCAAGTCAAAAACCGCGTACAAAACGTGTACATATCGGGAAATAAACTATTGAAAAATTTGTATTAAATAAGCTGATGACGTCGTCATGGTGTCATTCATTTTCAATAAATCCTCCACTAGGGTTTTTATTAGATATCACTTTGTCAACGATCAAACATTGCAAAGTTACCAACAGTGTGGCTCGAAAACTTGTACAAAGTCAATGGGCCATAAACTCATTTGCAGAAACACTGCTCCTTTATCTTTACGTCACATGATTTGCGCAAAAAACTTTAAAAAATTTACGGACCCAAAAATATATTTCAAATCAAATAACAGACCGTAAAGTCCGCAGTTTCTCTTTTGTTTTTTTAGTAATTTTGAGCCAAAGTAAAGGACTACTCGTCCACATGTGTTAATTAGAAAAACGTGTACAAAACATAGGGGAAATTAAAAAAAAGCACTCACTTTTCAAGATATATACAAAATTCGAACCAAATTGGATTTGGACTTTGGGAGATATAGTACTTTAAGTAAGGCACCATTTAATGTCACGTGACTCGTCTGCTGATGGTATTGTTATCACGTGAGGTCAATTTCCGTTTGTAAACCTTCCCTTCCTAACTGCCTGCAAGGTTTCAACCCAATAAGACATGTACAATACAGTATACAATACAAACATTATACTTATTGCGGAAGAGGCACAGGTTCGATAGATATCTTAAACGTTGTCCCTTTTGGCGTTCCATGCAATGCGATATATTCATGGCAGCACGTGGTCGGCATTTTGCCGAGTTTCGAGTGTATGCCCCGCGCACTGTGCGCCACCTATGTTGCAGGCAGATATTGGGCGTCCACAACACATGTGTTGACTGATGTCAGGCGATTTGGACAAACTTCGCCACAGACATCCATTCAAAATTCATTTTTTGGAATATTTAACCTGTCGCCAGAGGGCGCTCGACAATTAGGTGCCGTCATCAGTAGATAATTTGAAAAAATACCATACCCTAGCAGACTAACACCATTGAAAACAACTAGATACCTATAACCACTTTTAAACAATAACCGGAAGGAAGGGTCACGTGATTTGACCCTCTCCAGATGAATTCAAGACCACATTTCATCCTGGCACTTGCTGCAAGGAGGCTGAATGCAGAAGGCCAGGGTAGATTTTAAATGGATTTTTATAAACGTAACGTAAATAAATTACGTGATGACGTCATCATGACGTAAAAAAATCAGAATTATCTTGGTTTTATGGATAGTTGTTGCTGCCTTAAAAACTTGTACAAAGTCAACGGGCAATATGTAAAAATCGATAATAAACCACTTGATGACGTCATCATACGTCATATTTGTAGGAGCATCTATGCACCATGGTTCGTCATTGGTATAAGTTTCATGATGATGATGTAGTTACAAAAGCACTAAAGTTGCCGGTTGAAAAAAACGTGTACAAAACAAACAGGCTTTTGAGCAGAAGAAGAAAAAGGAAGAAGAAACGAGGGCTTTCTGCCCGTTTGCAACATGCAAAATGATTGCCACAATTAATAGAAAATCTTGAATTCCATCTAGTGAGGGCGCACAACACTCTTGGTAATACACATACAAATGTCACTTACAAAAGCCAGCAGGAACTTTTTATTAAACTTTCAGTTCGTTTTGTACCTAGGAACAAATTTCAACATCTCTTCAATATGTTCGAAATAAAGTGACCTTGATTAGGATCGCAGAAAACACAACGTTATCCTTGCCGACTAAAAAAGCATAATGGGCAACGATCAATATAATGATTAGTTATTTCAAATATGTCCACTGAATTTATTTCGCGTACCGTTTATTTAAAAGACTACCGATTTTTGTAACTGTTGCTCCATCCCAGTGGAAGGTGCCAAAAAATTCAATTAGGTAGTATGTTATACAAAATGCAGAAATTCATCAGGTGAAGGCGCAGTTCAGTTTTCTCATAAGGGTTTGATTGTCCAAACGAAGGTCTGCTTCAGTTGTGTTCGCATTTGATCAACCCTGACGGTCTAGGATGTATGTCATTAGAGGAGTTGGGACTGTCAGAGCTATTGGTATACACAAACTAAGAAATGTCGACTTCAAAGACGGGAAGAAAAATAAAACAAACATCACTTTCATTCAATTCCTTCAAAAGTACAACTCCTTATTGCCTACTGAATTTGAAATGGACAAATCTGCGAGTGCACAGACTTTGAATCTGGAACTTAAGTGTATGTTGAAAAATATATTCAAAATATTGAACAGGAAACCTGGTCTAGAGGTTGAAGGATTATCAGAGTTGAATGCTCAAGCGTCGTACTCTTTATTTATGACACATTAAGGGAAAAACTGCATTTGCATGTGCTTTAGGAGATTTTACAAGTGTGTATTAAATAAAATCAATGAAGTGATTTTTGCCCTGAAAATTCCCAGACGTACTTAAGAAGACATGGGAACACAAAATATAAGGCTCTTTGTGAATGCTAAAATATCGCATAATTCGGACACTTGTGATCATAATTTCTGCAGTACTCTTGAAAAAAGTGTCTAGCCATTTACATATATACATGTACTTCCCATGGCCTATTGTATGCAGTTTTTCAGATCATCTTGGTATTTTGAAGAAGTCCTTCTGTAGAACAATCTTGGTACGAATTGCATTTCCACTGAAGACACCTGGGACACCACAGATTTTCCCCCCGTATGTGCTGCTGAACATTCTTCTGTGTCATCTTAAATTGGAAAATATATTCATTATGCATCAGTTCATGTGCTGATGCCTGGAAAAAAGGTGTCAGAAGTGTCAGCACTTTTGATATCACTTAGCTACACAGGAGTAGCAATGTAGGATGTTGATCATTAAGCAATTTGCATTATTACATTCATGGGTCCCCCCTCCTCTTTGCTCAAGATTGCCTTAATCAGAATACAATACCTACAGCGGGCCTTCTCAGTACTAATTACCTTTTTCTTGCAACTGGTTGCCCAACATCTTCTTTCATGTTGGGTAGTGGTGCATATACATGTAACCTCAGTTACATTACACAAACATCGCATATGTGTGCATGTATTTTGGGGTTCTCATTAAATGAGGAGCATGTGGGGACTTGGCTCTTAAAGTGGGGGACCAGGCACGTGGGTGTTGATGAGGGCACCATTCATGATGGCGGTACATGGATGCCCCCCCCCCCACACACTCACACAAGTGTGTATTTGCCTGCAAATGGGGACCCCTATTGTTCCTCTTTTGTTTGTACAACAACTTTTTTAGAAGAGCACCAATATGTTTTGTACCCAGTTGTCAATCAGGGAACCCTATGTGAATGGGGGACTTTATTGCCCTCTATTGTTTAGGGTCCCCAATTGAATGCAAAAATACAAACACCCACACACAGACTTTGCTTCATGAGTGTGTTAATCAGAACTGGCAATATGTCTACATGTATGTCAATGCAACAGAAGGCCTTTATACCATTACCTGTAACTTCCTTTATTGCGGGGACCCAAGCCTCTGACATTTGTATGTAACTTCAGTTATGTTGAATTCCAATGCTCTGAACTAACATAGAGCACAGATTTAACTCTAGGTTTCACTTCAGCCACAGCATGAAGGGTACCTGTACACAGAAGCAAAACAAATTGGACAGCTTACATGTACATAAACATGTAAATAATCAAACACTGTGAACCAGTAATAATACGTTTTTGTCTTTGGGAAACTACAATGAAATGTGCACATTGTGTTTTGAAAACATGAAGCCATAAAAAACGGCTTTCCTGTCTTAGGACATTTTTCCTTAATTTACGTGTATTGTATAAAAACTGCAGACTTCTTTTCTGTCCTGAAGATTTCGAGACACTTCAAATGACATGGGGATCAATTGAAAATATCAGAATCTTGTGAATGCTGAAAATTTTACACTATTCTTCCAAACTTGTTAGAATTTTTTTATAGCGGTTACATGTGCACCTACAAGTAAATAGACTTCCTGTCGATTTGCAGCTTTTTACATGATCTTGTTACTGGTACTTTGATGAAGCTCTTCTCACTGTTCTGTGGC